TCGTAATAACCTTATATTATTGGCAATATTGTTTTAACAGCCATGTGGTACTGATATCGATTATGATTGTCATAAACGTACCACGTGACGTGTAGTATTTGAATAACTGAATGTAGTTACGGAACATACCATGTAACATTTGGTGATTGTATGTGCTTTCATTTCGACCTGATAGTTAGTCATATCGATTTTAGAGAAGGAGGGGGCCAAGCAACCTCACACAATCGTTTGCATGATATGTTATTTATCGAATACACGTTTATATTTATTATATATATATCAATATATTACTTTCAATGAATACATTGCCAAACACCACACTTATTTAAAAGACATTTCTGGCAAACGTTTACTGTGTCATTCTAATATCTCCTGCATCATATAAACAGCTGCATGTAATATCACCATAAAACAGTCTACATTTGTCTTGAGATGATTGGTTGGTTAGTTTATGTCACAATACAGTAAGCATCATTGATTTAGAGCAATACTTTCCTCCTAGTACAGTACAGTACAGTACAGAGTACAACTATTTGGAACTATCCAGCATCATCCGAAGTGAACACATCATCGCTAGCGTGTGTGCTGTTTCAGTACTTTAAAGTCATGGTGCTATTCGCAATAATTACAAATAAAATATTCAGGCAGACAGGAAATCACTCCATGGATATCAATGTTGTTTCTGATATAGTTATCATTAGATTGCCTAACATTAATTGTATTTGTGTTGTCGTAGCCTTGACACGTGACCAGGGACAATGTAAGCTATATTGACAAATTACAGACATCGAAGAGAAATTTAGAACACATTATATTTGCTAAAACGTAATGCTGCACCACGATCTTTATTTCAAGCAAAAAATATGCTCAGGTGGTGCATCTTATTTATCAACAGCTAGTTCAAACACAAGTGTCATTCTATTCACCGATGTCTACTCACCGTACGTGTTTTTTCTTATCTATTCCACCAGCGTGATATTCAGTATTTATGGGTCATCATAGGTTGTTGCTATGGTGATAACGCGAATTACGTCGACGTGTATCGTTCAATCGCAGTAGAATTCGTGCATCCAGATGAGCGGTGCCCATAAATTGTGCACACGGTGCATGTTGACCCCCACACATGACGTGACTACTACAATTAGCCGAAATGCAATATTTACCACTACTAATATTTGGAAATGTGTTAAGCAGAATAAGAATTCATATACGAATCGCAGATACGTTGGAAAGGATGAAATTAGGTCATTTGCATATCCACTGGACCAATGATATAGGAATCGTGAAGTAACGTGTATGAATCATGGAAAAATTGAATTGCATTGAGAAGCCAAGATTGATGAAGTAAACCTTTCACGCTGACTTGGTCTAATATATAATAAGTCACCTCATTTCACATTCTGTAAATGTATAATATGACAATTGTGGCTCAATGAGATGGACTCTCCACATCCCCAGTGACTGGTGGGGTAACGAATTGCCCCCTCAAGGAACGTGTATATGATTAAGTGCACCCATGTAGCTTAAAATACAGTAGTGTAATCATTTTTTGATTTACATCGCACCTCAACGGGTCATATCCGTCATTATACCATGTAATAATTAGCAACGTGTACCTGGGTCGAAATGTATTTCAATGTGTATTTTCGTTAATCTATTCGCGTGATATTGATATTCGCCGCACTGTGCACATTTAAAAACGAGCCGTAGTTAATATTGCTCACTCTTTATTAAAGTGGCAAACACTCAAATTATCAACTGCGACTGACCTCGAATGCGAATGACAATCTAATTTCGTAGCCATCTATCGGCAAATTCAATATTATGCACAAATTGTTTGTCAATCTGTGTTTCCCCCAGAGCAATATTTAAGATGGCAGCTGCTTTTATATCGACGTGTCTGTGTAGGATTTTAAATGCGAATAAGCATTCGATAAATCTGCCTCGAAGATCTTCATGTATTTTAAAGGACATATTCAGCGTTTGTTGTTGGTTTATAATAATACTTTTTGGGTGAAAAGTGTTATATTTTTTTATTTTTGTACGTTTACTGACAAATCGTATCAATCCTGGTTGACAATTCTGGATAATAATATATATATGTCTGTAGTAATTTTGTAGTTTTAATCAAAACAAATTACGTGTTCCAATAATGTGACTGAAAATCAAAATACGCCAGGCTGCTCCTTGATAAAATATTTTATTTTAAATGTAAAATGTCACGTTTTCACGTTACACAAAAATGTGATTACACTCAGGTACACACGTATTAGAGTGCCGTAAATGCTCAAAGCAGTGTATGTGTTCTGTGGAGTGCCGTAAATGCTCAAAGCAGTGTATGTGTTCTGACACTCAATAATAAATTATCCACACAAATGAATTAAACTCATAGTCATGTAAGTGCGCTGCCGATAAATGGTTATTTTTAGAGCTGAACTGGTTTAGTGATATGTCAATAGAGCGTTGTCGATGCACTAATGAGGTTTCTTGTGGATTTGAAAGCAAACAAAACATCTCAAACTGTATCACAGGTACGTACCAAGTACAATTTTAAATAACGCTGATATTAAAAAGATTAAAGATTAAGTAGATCAGCTTCTAATACTTACCGGCCTTCGGTTTTAGTAATAACGATCGTCGCCAGGAAAACAAGCAGACCGAATAGATTCTGAGTGACATTAGAAATCATGATTGCACATTGCCAGCTAAGCTGACCTCGCACTTTCGACAACGTATCGTGTAGTAACCAGAAGTAGCGATCGTTCAGTTTAAATTGCATGTGATGGCGCTTGTTGGATGAAATCACTATGCGCAGTCTCAGTTGCTAGCCCGATCATCTCGCACACGAAACCTGTATTTAAGATTAAAACGTGTAGTGTATGACACGTGTATTCAGGTCGACGGTTGTTCAACTTTTAACTGGTATGTCGAGGCCGCCTATACTCCATTTGTAACGAACGATTCATACAATTTATAGTGAATTTTGTCTAAACTGATTTGTGTGATTTAGCGCTCTAACAACTCTTATTATAAAAAGAGAGGATGTAAAAGTACATTGACCAAAATTATATCAATTCTGTAAACCGAGTGATATTAGAGTGCCAAAAGACCAGGAAAACATTATATATAGTTCGCAATGATTCATGAATATTATGCGTGATGTATTACTACTGAAAAAGTCAAATTATAGACTGGTGTGTTTAATCATTGATTACATAAGAATTGATATTTATCTCCATGCAAATTAGACTACGAAGAAAACGGAGATGTCCAAATAAATGAATGTCTCTTGGGAATAACTCGTGTTAACCATGGACAGTGAGTGGTATGGCATGAAGTCTCGCTCGCCATACCAATCAAGCAGCGCTCGCGGTGCTCTAATTATTAGTATTGAAGGTTTGCACTGTGACGTATCTTGAAAATGATCTTTAATGCGACAACCAGAATTTTGTATCGTGTACACCTTCGGACAGTTTCAAAACGTCTTCGGATTTCTGAATAAGTGGCAAGCACTGTATGGGAAAACAACACCACAAGCGCGTCAGCGTCAAATTATAATCGTTCAATACTCAAAGTATCGGGGTAGTATGCAGGAATATTAACAAACGATGCTGGTACATTTGTAACAAACATTTGTTTCAAGTTGTTTACATGGCGAAGAATGTATACAGAAAAGTTGAACCAAAGATCAAGGCCATTTAAATAAAGGTATCATTGAAAAACGCGAAATGAGCAAGCCAAAATGAGGGTGAATGAATAAGACAATGTTCACCGCGCGAGGGCGGCTAATAGATTGTCTCTACAGAAAGTCAATGACTTTCCAAAGAAGTCAATAATATGTTCCTGGATATGATAAACAAACCGCAAGAGGGTCATAGGCACACTGGACTATGTAGAAACGTAGATATACAGAATAACGCAATGCAGAATATGCTCTCTGTATAACGTAGAATGGCATATTCTGTCCACTATTCAAGTTTGGCCTAGATTTTGTCCGTTACGTCAGCGAAAATTGTGTTACAGCACTGCAGCACCAGCGTGACAGCAAGTTGAATTAAATAACCAGGAGTGGGTGTGGTTTTATTTTCAGCGTGCGTGGCATGTTGTTTATGGTTGATTTTAATAATATCAGTTTCATTATTATTAAGCAGTCTATGTATTTCAGCCTATTGGTATTGTTTTTTTTTATTATTATTTTAGCAGATTTTGAACAATACGTCGAAACTTGCTACATCAATATGTTTGACTGTAATCCGCTGCATATCCGTCTTGTTTTATGTCGGAACCCTTGAAAGGCTTCTTCTTTAAAAGCTAAGTAGCCTGTCACCACAGTCAGCTGGCACACACGTGATAATATTATTTACTTAGTCTCTTATTTAGTTTTATGCGTCATTCAAGATGGCGGCCCCCATATAGTAAATATCGCATTTATTTCATTATATCAGTTGTGCGCCAACTGACTGTGCCTGCCACATATATGTAAATTCTCAGTGTACCTTCAATAAATTATTTGCTCAAATTATAGCGATCCGGATGTCACATGACTTGGTCGCCATCTCGGTTTAGCTCGAAAAAACCAGTTTACTAATTATTCCCAAAAACATATAGTCTTATTTAACTCAAATTACTAGTATATATCAATGTGTCATGTACAGGCAAGATCCAGCAAAATGTATTGGGGGGGGGGGGCAAGCTACGCTCATGAGATATACGGACCGTAAATCGCAGAGAAGCTATGCGTAATCCAAGATAATACGAATCGTCATGCGTTTGCGGGG